CAAGGACCTAAAACAGCCTACTTCCAGTGCTGTGTTATGGGCACAGGAGCTGATCATTCTCTGGTGGGGCAGATTGTGAAGTAACTAAAATGTTCATTTTTTTTTTCTCTTCCCCCTACCCCCACTAACCTTGCAGCTCGCTGTGGTGATGAAGTTGCTCGTTATTTAGATCACCTTTTGGCACACACTGCTCCCCATCCTAAACTAGCCCCTACCTCACAGAAGGGAGGGCTAGATCAGTTCCAAGCTGCTGTGCAAACAACCTGCGATTTAATGTCCTTGGTGACCAAGGCCAAGGAGCTGCATGTACCGAGTGAGTAATGCCATGACTCACTGGAGTCAGGCACAGGATTGACGTGAAGCCCAGGATGGGGGCGGGACGTTTGTTACAGTGCAAGCAGGAACTGTTTTTCACTGCTGTATCCCCAGCAACTCAGACAGAAGGAACATATTAGGCACTCAAATATTTGTAAAGTTAATGAATTGTGTATAGGTTTGCCGCTGATAGTGCCACGTAGCCCGGTTTAACCATTGCCTCGTGAGAAGCAGCAGACCAAGAGACATGGAGCATTTGAACATCGGGGTTAAAGTGATGGAAAAAGGTGTTTCCTTTGGGAAAGTTCCTCCTTTGGAAGCACTTTTATTTAAAGAGAAAGCACTGCCAACTATTAAAAGATAACCTTGCAACGAAGAGGGAGATACTCTCCCTTGAGCAAGCCGCCTCTGGTTCCCTTAGGCCAGCTGTGCCATTTACAGTCAGTTGCTCCGGGCAGCTTGTAGAGCTGCATTTCTCAACTACAGTAGTACCGCAACAACCCTGCCGTTGTCCTCCCCGTGACCACTACCCCCCTTCGGTGGGTATTTGCACTGGAGGATGTCTTCTACTACACACTGCTAGGAATAGCCACGGCTCCTAAGAGTATTCAGTGCCTCTATGGTAGCTGCATATGAAGGGACAGAAGGGCTCCTTGACCACACCGACAGGACCTAAATGGTAACATTTTACAGACGATGAGAATGATTGAGATGCATGTTCTTGCTGTCTAACACTTAATTGACCATTACTAACCACATGAATACTAAACATGAATCATTTAACATTTAGAACAGGGAAGAGCTCAGCGTACCCTTTGAGGATGCCTCCTTGACAAAGGGCTTATGTGAAAAAATCAACTTTATTAAATTACACTTCTACATTGTGATTCAGGAAACTTGAACTTAATTCCCGGCTCTGCTACTTACTTGCCTGAACAGTTTTTTGAACTCTGTATCTTTCTTTCTGTATCTATAAAATGCTGAAAGGGACCAGACAGTCTCTCCTTTAAGGTTATGGTAAGTATTTGGACTATAAATAAAAACATTAGGAATATCTCAAAGTAGGTCAGCCACTACATTTTTGATTCCCTACATGGAGTCATCCATTTATCTATTCTCAAGGAAACACAACTGCTGACAGCCAGATATTTCCCCAGGGCAGTCCAGAAAATAGAAAACAGAATTGGGTTCTTTCTGTTATATGGTATTCTATCAAAGTATCAGGAATAGCACCATTGTGATGTTGATTACATCCATAGGCTTTAGTATCTTAAATGGCCATTTAATGCTACAGTTCTAGGCATTCCACTGAAAGTATGTTTGATGGAACAATCTTTAAATTATCTGATACTCATATTTCTTTTCTGTGATATTAGCAAGAAACAATAAATTTCTTACTCTTGTTCTATAGAGAACAACTCCTATGCAACTCCATTTTGAGGGCAACTATGAATTTTTTTTATTTAAATTCAATTAGCCAACTGATGGTACATCATTAGTTTCAGGTGTAGTGTTCAATAAATTATCAGTTGCGTATAAATGTGAACTTTTTTTTTTAGTCTTCTAAGTTATCTAACCTTTCCCATAAATGTCAACCTCTTGCAGATATTCACATATATCTTCCTACAAAGATATTTCAGGCTTCCCGACCTTCATTCAACTTACTTGACTCGCCTCATTGCCCACGAGAGGACCAGGTAAACTTGCACATGAGGTTTTTTTCTGTCAGCTGTTCACAAAACTGCCATCTGTATGGCAAATAACAGAACTAGCCATTATAGTTTCTGCTAGTAACTGGTGGTAGGCAAAAGGCTACCCTGGTGAAGATATACTCCTTTTTAGTTCACTTTTTTCTTTTTTTTTAATTTAAATTCAATTAATTCACATGTATTATTTGTTTCAGGGGTACAGGTCTGTGATTCATCAGTCTTATATAATAACCAGTGCTCATTACAACACATACCCTCCCCAATGTCCATCACCCAGTTACCCCATTCCCCCCACCCCCTTCCCCTCCAGCAAACTTTTCTAGCCAGGCTCTAAGAAAACTAAATTGCTACATCATTCATTTTGAAGGTTTCATTGTTTTGTTTTACTTCTCATCAAAATTTAGGGAATTGTTATAGAAAAGGTTTAGAGGTGAAAAGATCAACACTCTAGGGCATTATTTAAGTTGAGCACTTGTGGGCTTATTTATTTATTTATTTTTTGTCCTTTCTCAAACTAAAGGTTCCCTCTGTTCGTGTAGAAATACATCTTCCTAGAGACCAGTCTGGGGAGGTGGACTTCAAAGCACTGGTTTTACAGTTGAAGGAGACCTCCAGCTTACAGGAGCAAGCTGACATCCTTTACATGCTGTATACTATGAAGTAAGTGATAAATATTCTCAGTCTCCTTTCATGTTCACGTAGAGAGGAAGTAAAACAGAGTAAATACAGCACAGCTTTGGAGTCTCATTGCCCTGGATTTGAATTTTGCCACCTACCCACTGTGTAGCCTCAAGCCTCAGTTGTTATCATTTATAAAATTTGGATTATACCTATACTCACAGAACTTGTAGAGATTAAACAAGATATAGTATCTGCAAAGTCTCTAATACAATGCCTGGTACATAGTAGGTGACCAATAACTGCTAACTATTATTATCATTATTATGGTTATTTATGGTCATTTCAAGCCTCTGTTACTTGGTAAAAATCCACAGATAAATAAATTCTTAACTCAAAAGAAGTATGAACATGGAGGCTTACAGGAAACAATAAACTAGCATTTCTGAGTATTTGCTATGTGTCCGGAACCCTCAAACTCAGGTATTTATACCTCAAACTCAGTATACCCAAATTAAACTCTCTCCTATCCCTCGCTTCCCCCCAAATATAACCTGAACTTCCTCATTTATTCATGTAGTCGTCAACCTGAAGAGGCAGGATGGGCTTCCCTCCCCTAAATTTGGTTTGGATGTTGAGACTGATGATGCCACCCATGTACCAAAAGAGTGTAAAATGTTTATTACTCACATAATGAGACTTCTGGGGAGAGTGGAACAGATTCCCAAGCTGGTCAAAAAAAAAGCATAAGTGAGCAGGGAAAGGAGTCTGCATTGGGGTTTTATTATGATTAGGAGGTGAGGCTGAGGTAAAGGTTCTCACCAGCACCAAAGGAGGGAACACTTGGATTTCCCTGACACCATGCCCAGGTATAGGCCGGAAGAGAAAGAGGAGCGGTAGGACTTGGAAGCTGTCGGTAGTCAAACATTAAAAGTGGAGTCGCATTCTGAAATTCTACATCCTTGTGGTTGAAACCAATACCTGCCTAATCAGCAAGCTTCACCCCATGTCCAGTTAAGCACCAAGGCTATTCAGTTTTACCTCTAAATGTTTACCTTCTGCATCACTAGCATGGCTGCCTTCACTCACATCTTTGTCTCTCACCAGGACTATTGCTATGGCTTTCTAACAAGTCTTCCTATTTCCACCCTGTTCTCCTCAAGCCCAGCCTCCACAGAGGAGGGAGAGTAACTTTTCTTTTTTACTTTCTAGGATAGAACGTAAATTTATACAAAAATAGAGAGACTAGCATAATGAACCCTCGGGGACCCATCACCCAGCCTGAGCAATTATAAACACATGGTTAATCTTGTCACATCTATATTCTCGCTCTCTCCCAGAGTATTTTGAAAAAGAGACCAGACGTTTTATCATTTCATTCCTGAATATTTCAGTATTATTTCTAAAAGTCAGTGAAGCTCTTAAAACATAACCACAATGGGACTTCTGATTCCAGACAAGAGAGATAAATGCATCTCTCTCTCTGTTCCTCCTGCTAAGTACAAGAGGACATTATTTATAAAACAAACATAACAAGGTGTTAAAAGGTGGAAAGAAGAAGGCAGACTGGTTAAGGACCTCAGGACCTGAGGACTGACAAGGTGGTGATGTACCTGGGTTTTCTTTGTTGCCTCATATATCCTGTATCAGATGCTGGAGAAGCCAGCACCCTGAAAATGCCGATGGGCACAGACGACAGGAGCCCTCAGAAAAACCTGTTCCTTCTAGACAAAGGACCAGGAAAGGGCAGACTAGCAAGACCAACAACTTTTAGACAATAACCACTCCTACCATAGAAAAATCTGCAGCCCTGCCCCTGTCCACAGGGACTGAGTGCAAAGCCCAGACGTCCACTCTGGCCCTACTGTAACAAAGGAGGCACTGCTCCACCTTCCCCTACTGCCACGGTGGGGTCAAAGAAGACCAAGTAGGGATCTGGGACTTCCATGCCCTCTAGGCGGTAATGAAGTCCCCCGGGTCTGTCTGACTCCAGAGCCCATGCTGCTTCCATCAGATCGTGCTGGTTAACGAGTAAGTGACAAAGACAGCTGAAAAGCCCACCAGCCCCAGAATCAATTTTTTACACCATTCCATTGTATCAAAAGTAGCCCAAACATATTTTTAGCCATTTGGGGCCTGCCTCCTTCGCATACTCCTTGAAACCTACTCCACATCTGCCAATAAGAAGCAACTAAAATGGGGCCCCGAATACCCCAAACCACTGCTGCCATTCATTGCTCTCTAACCGAGAGAATCCCCACATCACCTAGGCATGTAACTTCCTGTTCCCCTCTCCCCTGGAAGTTCCCTTGCGCTCCACCCCTTCTGGATGGTAGAGCTGGTGCCCTAGATAAGCCTCTGGACAGTCTTCTGCTCTGAGGGACTTCCCTTCTCATACAACCCTAAGTGCCACCCAATAAGCCTTGTTATGTGCTACCGCCCAAAAAATGACATGACATGACACCTCTGTTTCTTTCATTGTTTCTTTCGTTCTTCCCTTAGGGTAAGGCACTCTATTCAACAAATACCTGTTGAGTGCTTATTATGTGCCAGGCACAAGGCTAAATACAAAATAATGAAGAGATAGAGAAGGTAAAACGAGATAAAGGGTAAGGACAGAATGAGTATAGCTTGAATGAAAACTGAAGATTCAGTCAGGTAGCTGATATGAGCAAACAAAGGGAGTTGTACATGAGAAGCTCATACTTTCCCGCCAATTCAGATGATCCAGGGTTGACTGCCAACTCTTCTGTTCCTAGCATGGGTTTTCTTTATCTAATCCTGTATTACTAACTTCACCATAACATCTGATTGAACCTGCAGTCTCCCTAAAACTAGTATTCCAGGTAATGTCAAACCACTTGGGCAGAGTGTATATGATGTGCTGCATGGGTTTTAATACACTTGGAATTCTGCCCAATATCCCTCGTGGATTTAAGAGTAGAAGTTGGGAGGTGGGGTTTCGTATCTCTGTTGATTAGCATTCCTTCTGCAAATTGTCCGTTTATAACCTTTGTTTGTTCTATATTGAGTTATTTTTATTTTTCTTATTGATATTAGATATTACTATTTTGTTTATTATACTTGTTGCAGATATTTCGTCCAACTAATTTGCTAACTATTTATATGCCTTTCTCTATGCAGAAGTTTAGTTTTTATACCATCAAATCTGTCAGTCTTTTCCTTTTTGGCTCTTGGGTTTCTTGTCATGCATCCCCTCCCAGAATTTAAAAAATATTTTAAATACCTTTAATAATTTATAAAGAAATTTTTATGTCGGGGAGACTGGGTGGCTCAGTCAGTTAAGCGTCTGCCTTGGGCTCAGGTCCTGGGATCAAGCCCTGCATTGCATAGGGCTCCCAGCTCAGCAGGGAGTCTGCTTCTCCCTCTCCCTCTGCCCCTCCCCCCCACTGTGCTCTCTATCTCTCTCTCTCCCTCTCTCTCTCTCTCTCAAATAAATAAAATCTTTTTAAAAAAAGAAATTTTTATGTCTTTAATTCTACTTGGAATTTATATATGTCTTCTTACTCAGCATATCTAACCTCCAGTTCACTGTCTTTATCAGAAACCTACTACTTCCTGACCATGTTCATAGTATCGTCATTCTTTTAGTCACCCGGACTTGAAATTGTGTCATCATCTTCAACTCGTCCTCATCCCCTGCCTCTGCCTGCAACATCACCACCATCATTGGGAATCAGTGGCCAAATACATCCTCTGTGATCTTTCAACCTTTATCTATTATTGCTCCCCCGTCACAGTGTGAATACTTTCACCAAAATAGCCCACTGTACACAGCCTATACATGACGACTTTCACACCTTGGCTCATGTTCTTCCCTCTGCCTGGACTACTCTCCTTTACCACACCCCATCTCTCCTTGTTGGAATTCTAGCTGTCCATCAAGGCCTAGTTCATCTGTCATCTCCAAAAAGCTTTTTCTAATCTCTAGGAATGAAAAGGTTCATCCCTGACTGTGAGATCTCAAAGCATGTCCTTTAATATTATTCATTTATCTATTTTTATTTTGACCATTTCAAACTTAGAGAAAAGTTGTAAGAATAGTACAAAAAAATTTTATGGATATCCTTCATCCAGATTCCTCAGGTTTAATTTCCCCCTCTCTCTCTCTCTCTCTCTCTCATTCTCTCTGTCATCATCATCATCATCACATACATATGTTTTTCTGAATCATTTGAGAGTAAGTGGCAGACCTGATCCCCTTCTACCCATAAGTATTTGAGTGTGTATTGTGTATTTCCTAAAGACTAGGAATTCTCCTACATAAGCACAGTACATCTGCGAAAATCTGAAAATTAGGGGCACCTGGGTGGTGCATTTGTTTGAGTGTCCAACTCTTGATTTCAGCTCAGGTCATGATCTCAGGGTTCTGAGATGGAGCCCCACGTTGGGCTCCCTGCTCAGCACAGAGTCTTGAGATTCTCTCTCTCTCTCCCTCTGCCCCTCCCCCCACTCATGCACACTCTCTAAATAAATCAAATCTTTTTTAAAAAAAAAAGAAAATTGGGGCGCCTGGGTGGCTCAGTCGGTTAAGCGGCTGCCTTCGGCTCAGGTCATGATCCCAGGGTCCTGGGATCGAGCCCCGCATCGGGCTTCCTGCTCAGTGGGGAGCCTGCTTCTCCCTCTCCCTCTGCCTGCCTCTCTGCCTACTTGTTCTCTCTATCTCTCTGTCAAATAAATAAATAAAATCTTTAAAAAAAAAAAAAGAAAATTAATGTTAGAACAATACTATTATCAGGATGCCTGGGTGGCTCAGTCAGTTAAGCATCTGCCTTTGGCTCAGGTCATGATCCCAGGGTCCTGGGATCAAGTCCCATGTAGGGGTCCCTGCTCAGTGGGGAGTCTGCTTATCCCTCTGCCTGCCGCTCCCCCTGCTTGTGCTCTCTCTCTGACAAATAAATAAAATCTTTTAAAAAAAAAAAAACAATGCTATTATCTAATCTACAGACTATATTTGCCAGTTGTCCCAGTAATGTCTTTACAGCGAAAGAAAATCTAAATTACACATTTCATTCAACTCTCGTGTGTCCCCAGTCCCCTTTAATCTGGAACAGTTCTTGAGCCTTTATTTTTCATGTTATTGGCATTTGTGAAGCATACAGATGAATTATTTTTACAGAATGTCCCTAAATTTTGGTTCAGTTGGTGTTTTCTCATAAATAAATTCAGGTTATGCATTTTGGGCAGGAATACCACTGAAGTCATGCTGAGTTCTTCTCAGTGTGTCATATCAAGAGGGCACATAATGTTGATGAGTCCCATTGCTGGTTTTATCACTTGGTTAAGGTAGTATTTTCCACATTCCTCCACTCTAAAGTTTTTGGGTTGCACTTTGTAATTGAAAAGTATCTTGTGGAGATATACTTTGAAACTAAATATCCTGTTACTCTTCAAACTTGCATTCACTGTTTTTTTTAATCCATTATTGACTCTTCCTATGGTACTTTTTATTTTGTGTTTTTAAAAACATATTTAACATATTAAATTCATATTTATTTTTAATACATTAAGTATATTAAATACATTATATATAGTATATATTTACTATAATTTAATATATTGATTAGATAATACATTATCATGGCTCAAACTTTTTAAAGTACAAAAGGATACAGGGAAAGGATAAAAAGTCTTTCTCCCACCTCTGGTCCCCAGATACCTGGTTTCCCAACTCCCAGGCAATCGGTGTTATTGGTTTTTTGCGTATCCATCCAGGAACAATTTATGCATATGTAGGTAAATAAAGCATATATGTGTATAATTTTACACCTGTCTCACCAAATGGAAGCATAGTATATACACTGTTCTGTACCTTGCTTTTTTTTTCACTAAAACTATTTATCTTGAAATTCATTACATATATATCCCATTCACCTATGACTGCTTAACAAATAACCCAAAAACTCAGTGGCTTAAGATAATAAAAGCAAAAAGTATTTAAATTATCTGTCACAGTTCTGGAGCTCGTCCAAGCTCAGCTAGGCAGTTCTCACTTGGGATCTCTTCAGTTGTGGTCCGACAGCATCTGGGGCTGAAGTCACCATGAGGTTGTCCAGTCATATATCTAGGGGTTCATACTGGTTGTTGACTGGCACTTCATGTGGGGCTGTCACCCAGAACACCTACAAATGACCTCCCCCATGTGTCTCTCTACTTCCTCAGAGCCTGATGTCTAGGTTCCAAGAGTATGTGCCCCATCAAAGGACCAAGTGGAAGATGCCTTAACGTTTATGACCTAGCTTCAGAAATCATACAGCCGCACTTTCAACTTAGTCACAAGCATGCCTGGGTTGAAGGGGAGGGAACGCAGACCCACCTTTTTCACAGGAGGACTGTAAAAGTCACCCTGTCCCTATTGAGGGACATTTGGGTTGTTTCCCATCATTCACTATCACAAACAATGCTATAGCAAATAACCTCATGGCATATATCATTTCTCATGTGTGGAGTCTATCCTACAGATATGCCAGAATTAAAATTCCTAGATCAAAGAATAGAGAGATTTTTAATATTAATATATTTTTCCAAATAGCTCTCCAGAGAGATTGTCCCAATTTTCGCTCCCACCACCAATATATCAAGAGTACCTATTTTCCCAAAACTTTACCAATGCAGTGTTATCAAATTTGGAAATTTTTGACAACATGATAGATTTTAAGAAGTGTTATCTTGGTGTAGTGTTAATTTTAATTTTTCTTACTATGCATGAGATCAAACACCTTTTCCTATATTTAAAATTCATCAGTATTGGGGCACCTGGGTGGCTCAGTAGGTTAAGCATCTGCCTTCAGCTCAGGTGATGATCTCAGGGTTCTGGGATCCAGCCTCGAGTCAGGCTCCCTACTTAAAGGGGAGCCTACTTCTCCCTCTCCCTTTGCCATTCCCTCCCGCTCGTGCTCTCTCTCTCTCTTTCTCTTTTTCAAATAAATAAATAAAATCTTTTTAAAAAAATAAAAAATCCATCGGTATTTGACATTTTCTTTTGTGTCTTTTGTTTCTTTTTTTTAAATTTTCTATATTTGTTGCAGTTTGTTCTTTCTTTCTTTCTTTCTTTCTTTCTTTCTTTCTTTCTTTCTTTCTTCCTTTGAGAGAGAGAGCATGAGCGGGGTGAGGGACAGAGGGAGAGGGAGAGAGAATGAGGAGACTCCCGCTGAGCGTGGAGCCCAACGTGGGGCTCAATCTCATGACCCAGAGATCATGACCTGAGCTGAAATCAAGAGTTGGACACTTAACCAACTGAGCCACCCAGGCGCCCCTGTTGAAGTTCTTTATATATTAGGGAAATTGGCCTATGAATTGCAAATATTTTTCTGTTTGTAATTTGTCCTATGACTTTGCTTACAGTGGTTTTCTGCAGTATGAATTTTGTTGTTTTTATGTATATAAATGCATCACTGTTTCTTTTATGGCTTCTTGTGCATAGGTTATAGTTAAACAGTCCTCTTGCCCCCAAAGTTATAAAGTAGTTCTCCCATATTTTTTCTAGTACCTTTACATTTAAATCTTTGATATATCTGGAATTCTGATGTTCAGTGTAAGGCATGAATCCACCTTCTTTTTCAGATGGCTACTTGATTGTCTTAACGTTGTTTAATAAATAATCTACCTTCATCATAAATTAAATTCTCAATTTCATAGCACTTTACATGTATTTTATGATACTTCACGGTTGACTTGTGTTATAGTAATCTTTACAACAATAATGTATATGCATCCTTTACAAATAAGCACACATCCTTTCCTTTTATCTCTCTTAGTTTCCTAAGTGTAGCATACTTTCTGAACTTTCCTTTTTTTTTTTTTTAATTTTTTTTTTAAGATTTTATTTATTTATTTGACAGAGAGAGAGA